TTTTTAAACTAACGGATTATTATTGTTGTTGTTTTAAATTTAGCTCTAGGACTTAGCTGTTTGGTTTTTTCTTTAGGTGTGCGGCTCTGTTCCTCTGGCTTCCCAGGCGTGTGCGGAGCCGCGGCCCCCGCCCGCCCAGCCTCCCCAGCGCCCCTCGCTCGCCTCCAGCCCACGGAGAGCGCGGGCGCCTAGCCGCCTTTAAAAGTGAGGCCAGGGACCCAGGCGTTGACCGGCCTGGATCCGGCCCTCGCTTTCTCCCTCGGTGGCTCTAAGGCTTCCCTCCTCTCTTCCTCAGTGCGGGCGAAGAAGCGAAAGCGGATCATTCTCGGCTGGGGCCGCCTCCTCCTGGGCTCAGCACGTCCTCCCGACGCACCCGCCCACCCGGTCCGGCCAGACCCGGGCAGCCGTGGGGCTCACCCTGCCAGGATGTTCGCAGCCGGTCTGGCTCCCTTCTATGCCTCCAACTTCAGCCTCTGGTCGGCCGCTTACTGCTCTTCGGCCGGCCAAGGCGGCTGCTCCTTCCCCTTGGACCCCGCCGCGGTCAAGAAGCCCTCCTTCTGCATTGCAGACATCCTGCACGCCGGCGTAGGGGACCCTGGGGCGGCTCCGGAGGGCCTGACCGGGGCCTCAGCAGCCGCCCTCACAGCGCACTTGGGCTCGGTTCACCCGCACGCCTCTTTCCAAGGTGCCGCCAGATCCCCGCTTCGACCCACCCCAGTGGTGGCGCCCTCCGAAGTCCCGGCTGGCTTCCCGCAGCGGCTGTCTCCGCTCTCGGCCGCCTACCACCATCATCACCCACAGCAACAACAGCAGCAGCAACAGCCGCCGCAGCAACAACCCCCGCAGCCACAGCCTCCTCCTCCACCCCGAGCCGGCGCCCTGCAGCCCCCAACTTCGGGCACGCGAGTGGTCCCGAACCCTCACCATAGCGGCTCGGCCCCGGCCCCCTCCAGCAAAGACCTCAAATTCGGAATTGACCGCATTCTATCTGCAGAATTTGACCCGAAAGTCAAGGAAGGCAACACGCTGAGAGGTAGGTCTTGGGCGGGAGACTGCAGGCCTCACGGACCACAGCCCTGACCCATGCCCACGACTCCGGGCCAGTCTGGGTGCCCTTAAGTATTTTTACAATTAAAGACAAATTGGTAAAAAGGGGGAAGGAGAAAATAAATTATAGGAAATCTTGAAACTTTAGGTCTAAAACACCTGCTCTACGTTAAAACAAGTGATTCCAGGGATGCTTTAAAAACAAAAGTGACAGAATCAACATTCATGAAAATGGTTGTAAATATTTGCTAAAATGACTATAATTTACCTCTTCAATCACATATTTGAAGAAAGAATTATATTTTCTGACAGGGAAAGCCCTTTGAGGACCATTTTCTTTCCTTTATCTGATTTCTAGTAAAATTTCACCCAAGAAACACAGATAAAATTGGGAATCTAAACTCCCATAAGGACAGAGCAGAGTAGACTCTTCTAAGGGCAGAGGTTTTGTTCCTGTGGAATTCTTGGAAGGCACCTGAAATTGTGACAGTCTCAGGCTGTTTTAAGTAAAGCTCTTCTTTGCTTGCTATATACGTATACGTGGCGCCAGGAACACACAGCTCCCTGGCAACTGCTGGGAGAGAGAGGTTTCAGGGCTGAAACGGGGTCTCTCCGAACTTCCCTCCATATGAACAAATCAAACAAATGGAATGGAGGGCAAGGGGAGGAGGAGGAGGAAGAACCAATCCACCCAGTGAGTGTATGTTTGCCCGAGATGTAACCATCTTTTCTTTTCCCTTTTCCACAGATCTCACATCCCTGCTAACTGGTGGGCGGCCCTCAGGGGTGCACCTCCCCGGCCTGCAGCCGACAGCTGGCCAGTTCTTTACGTCTCTAGATCCCATTAACGAGGCTTCTGCCATCCTGAGTCCATTAAGCTCCAATCCGAGAAACTCAGTTCAGCATCAGTTCCAAGACACATTTCCAGGTATGGAAAATTTCAGAGTATAGCACAACAGGCAGGTCGATTTACAGTCAGATATCTCAGAACTGACTCCTCCAGGGGCAGCGGCAGTGTTGCAATCTCTGTTGGGATAGGAGGCTACCAAGTCAGGGAGAGAAACCAAAAGATTTCTCAGCAACCTAGTGCAGCCTTTGGATGGTCTCATCCCTAAAGGGATGGGGGCACCAGGAAAGCGTGTGCATGAAGGGATGGGGTACTTTCCCTAGCCTTTTCACCAAGAGGTTGGTTTGAAAATGGGGCACCAAGAGGTGTTGCCTATTAACAGACACAATTTGGGAGATGACCTTAAAAACACTTGGTCAGTGAAGTTAAGTCTGTGTGCATAGATACATGGGAGGGAGTACACACACACACACACACACACACACACACACACACACGAGATTCAGGCTGTCATCTGTAGACCATTCAGGCCCACAGACGATTTTCATCCACTCTTCTCATGCCTAATGGTCACGCATTAGGTTTTTGTTTTTCCCTTTGAATTAACCAACTGGTGTCTCCACTCCACATTGGCTTTAAGCTTGCCCACTAAGAATTAGCTGTGAAATTCTTCCTTACAAAGGCCATTCTTGTGTTCATGAAGCTTTCTGATGAGGATAGAAGCAACTGTTAACACAAAACCGTTTGAAGCAGCACAGTGAACCTCAGTAGGGCAGGCCGCAGATTCGCAGATTCCCACTAATGGAGCCCTCTTGTTTCTCTCCCCTTTGGCTCCCTCTTGGTGGCAGGTCCCTATGCTGTGCTCACGAAGGACACCATGCCGCAGACTTACAAGAGGAAACGCTCATGGTCGCGTGCTGTCTTCTCCAACCTGCAGAGGAAAGGCCTGGAGAAAAGGTTTGAAATTCAAAAGTACGTGACCAAGCCTGACCGAAAGCAGCTGGCGGCGATGCTGGGCCTCACTGATGCACAGGTGAGGCAGCGCCAGCTCCAGTGCGTTGCACAGACCTAGCCCACAGGCTACCTCCACTGCCGCCGCCGCCGGGGCCCATTCACCCCTTGTAGTCAAAACACAAGGCCTTGAACTTCATGAAGCTTTGTGGACTTCTCAACTTGAGGCAGGAGAAGAGGAACTTAGGGATGGGGGTAAGGGAGAAGGACAGAGAGAATAGCCCATCCTGGAAGATATATGCCAATAAGCACTGCTTGTTTATTTTGGCCAACAGGCTGGAGAACAACCGAGAAAACAAATAGGCCTCGGGAGATAATAATTATGTACTAAACTGTACTGCAATTTGCTGTAAAAGGCAGTTTATTTTAGAAGAGATAAAAACCCAAAGGCAAGAGATTATTGGTTTTTTTTTCTCCTGCCCTCTCTCCCTTCCTGCTCCTCCTCCTCCTGATGTTGCTGTTGGATTGTGAAATCCCCAGTTGTGAGGAAGTGAAAATACCATTTCAAACGGAATTACTTAGCTCTAGAAGGGTGAGGAGTCCGCTTGGAGCGGCCATAATCAGTACGATGTTCTGAGGCTTAGGAAGAGGAAAGGAAGAGAGGAAAAGAAAGAAAGAAAAAAATTTTTTTTTCTTAGAGTGCCAGGGAGTATTTCAGCAGGTTCTGCTTATTTGATTTTTTTCAAGATGATTGGAAATCTATTGTGCCTGAATTAATTTTTTTTCTTCTTTTTAAATTCAATAACTAGGCCTCCCCCCCCCCTTTTGAGCTTTAACTATAAAAGACTCACTGTTGTTCTACACACCCCACAGCAGTGGCCCTTGCTGCTTGGATGCTGACTGTCCCAGCAAGCCAAGCCACAGGCCGATTTCTCTTCTTAGCTCCTTGGTCCCCTGGTTGCTGTCTCTGTGTCTTTTTGTCCTCCATTACACAACTCTGGTACACACACACACACACACACACACACTGGAGGAGCCCAGCCGCTTTCCACCAGCTGTGGATGTTATTTTTAAAAGGGAAGCTGGAACTTGTGTGAGTGCATTGGGTCCTCTAGGGTATTGTATATATTTATATAGATTGTCTGCCCCATCTCTACCCCTTTTCTCCACTTTGTACACGTTTAATTCCAGCATTTTCTGAGCCTTCAGAAGAATTAGTTTATCCATCCCAGGGGCAGGGTCCTTATCAGTTCCTGAGTACAAACTTGCCAGGGAAATGCTCTTCTACTGAAAGTCCAGCACTGCCTCCACTCCACTGGAATTAACTTTGAACCCTTTTTCCCCTTTCTGCTTCCCACAGTTTCTTTTAAAAAAGAATTGTTTTTGTATGGATAACTTGCTTGGGTAAAGACAGTAGGGGAGAGGGCCAGTGTAGACAGAATTCTTAATATTGGCTCACCAAACTCTTGAAATTGTGTGCAAAATCTTGGGCTATATGTGCACTTCTCTGGGTCAGAGTTCATAACTTTAATCAGATTGTCACGGGGGTCCTGCCTCTAGTGAGGTGAAGACATTTCGCTTTAGATTAGAGGGAAGGGTTGGGGGCGGGGTACAGGAATCTGCCTTTCCAGCAAGTACTCATCCCAGGTCATTAAGCTGAGATGGGACAACCACTTGTTGGAAACCCTCTTATCAGCTTCCCTAGGGAGGATCCCTGACCCCTGTGCCTAGCACAGTGCCTGCCCCTTGGCAGAGGTTCCAGGAATGGTAAGCGGTATTTTCCTGCCTTAGAGGAGCATATCCTGGGTCTACTCCAGCGCAATCTGAATGAGCCTGTGTCTCACCTCGGTGTCTCTTCTTGTCTCCTGTGTGGTGCGGCCCAGGTGAAGGTGTGGTTCCAGAACCGGCGGATGAAGTGGCGGCACTCCAAGGAGGCCCAGGCTCAGAAGGACAAGGACAAGGAAGCCGGCGAGAAGCCTTCAGGCAGAGCCCCAACTGCAGATGGCGAACAGGATGAGAGGAGCCCCAGCCGCTCCGAAGGCGAGGCTGAGAGTGAGAGCAGCGACTCCGAGTCACTGGACATGGCTTCTAGCGACACAGAGAGGACTGAGGGGGCTGAGCGGTCTCTGAACCAAACAACAGTTATCAAGGCCTCTGCAACCGGAGTCCTTGTCACTGCTGGTTGTGGTGGGAGTGGCGGGAGCAGTGCCGGCACCAGCAGCACCAGTTTTAGCTTTAGCAACGCCGGCAGTATCTGTAGCAGCGGCAGCGGCAGCGGCAACAGCAGCGGCGGCAGCGCGGGGAGCGCCAGCAGCCTGGGCAACAGCAGCAGTGGCACCTCGGAGCTGCTCCCCGAGCCCCAGCCCACAGTCAGCAGCGCTCCCATGAGCCCCGAGCCCGGCCCAGCCCCGCTTGGCGGTTTATAGACTGGAATAGGGTGGAGGAGACCGGGCCCTGCATATAGCCTCCTGTTCACAGGTGGATTTTGTGCCTACTTTATTTTGGCAACTGGGCTAGAGCTGGGGATGCAGCGGGGAACATCTTTCCTGACATTCACATTTTGCCCTTCTCTCCTTGATGCCTTTGCTGTCTGTGGCCCACATGGTTCCAGTTCCCAGCGGAGGCCAATCTGTGTCCCCTTGGCAAAGGTTCCCATTGCCAGTCAGAACACTTTTCCTTGGACACAAGCAGCTCAGAACTGTGAAGTGTTAGGTGAAACTGTACCTCCCCACAGGGGGTGGTGGCTCAAAGATGTGCTGCACTTAGGAAGCCTTAAACTTGTAAATAAAATGTTTATTATGGTTTGTAAAGGCCGCTTGGCTTTTTGGGGACCAGGTGATCAGTCTTAAGGCTCTAGATCGACAATCTGGGACCTTTGCCCTGGGGCATTTCAGAACAGCTGCTGTAGATGGGGGACTAGATCTCTGAGGAAAAGAGACTCAACCTCAGAGCCACCTTGCTGCAAAGATATGGGCAGGGCTTAGAGGTTTCACCTAGTTCAGAGGTGACCTCGCAAATACCAACCTCCATATCACTGGCTCTGCAATCCTGCACATGGCCAGAGAGTGGAATAGGCCAAACTCTTCACTGGGACCATGCAGCAGATGGTTTCCCCAACAGGGTCTGGGTGCAATGAGTGTCCCTCCTTGGTGCTAGAGAATATGGAGTGGGGTGGGGAATGTGGTGGTGTCCCATGGAGTAAATCAAGCATAGCCATACTCAATCGGTGACTGCTCAGTGCCTGGCTCAGAACAGTGGGGTTCTCCTAGCAAACTCCCCTTGTTTAAGAGAGCGGGGCACCAACCAGGTCTAATGTTGTGCAAGAAGGGACAGGTATGTCACAGTGGTTAGGACTGGAAGCTTGGGTGTTAGCATGCCAGGGTCCTGGTTTTAAAGATACCAAAACAATTGTGCTGCGGAGACATGCCTTGTTTAAGATTAAGAAGAGGCAGAGTCCAAATCAGAACTGTGACCTTCTAGCTTCACATTTGGCCAGGGATAAATTTACAAACTGCACTCCTCCTGTCACATAAAAATCTTCCTTTGCAATACAGCCACTGGAGACACCCAGTTTAGTTCTTTTCCCCTGGAGCCTCCAGGAGTTGAGAGGTAGCTTTCCTATCCCATTGTGTCTGGAAGATAGGAACCTATTTCAACTTGATGCTGATGGAAGGATGAGCCACTTAAAGCATATGTGTGTATGTGTGTGTCTGTGATAGTAAATCTATTTCACCTTGATTCTGGTGGTAGGATGGGCCACTTAAAGCATGTGTGTATGTGTTTTCCAAAGCTGGTCAAAACTTTCTTTCACACCTGCTTCTCTGGCTCTTCTTCTCTTGAAACTAAGCAACGTCTAGAGTTGGTCAATGCTGTTTGGGGAAATTTTAAAATAAATAGACATTAGAACCCTGACTAGCTGGATCTACTTGGTACTGACTTCCTAGAAGGCACAAGGCTTCTCATAGACCCAGCATCCATGTAGAGGAGCCGTTTCTCAGATACAAGGGGCTGCAGAGAGATGATGGGGTAGAGAACTGAGATGCACTTCTGTTCTCTGACCAGAGTCAGAAGGTTCCCCAGCAGCTTCTCAGTTTTGCTTATTTTCTTTTCCACTTTGACACACATTCCTCTAGAGCTCAGTCCAGGACCTCTGTTTTGGACTTCACATTCAGGGAAGGGGGCAGGTTTAACCTTCTGTTGAGGGCTTAGCCAGATGCCTAAGCAAGTCCCAGAACTAGCACAGGATGCTAGGTTCACCCTTTCTTCCCCAGCTGTCTTCCCAAGTCTCTAAATGGAACTGGACCCCTAGAAGAAAGAACCTTGGGGAGTGCAGAGGGAGAGACCAGAGAAGAGAAAGGAAAGGCAGATCACCCTACAAGGGACCCCAACTTAAATAGAAAGTGAGCTAGCTGCTATCTTTAATTGTGCTGCAGGAGATTCAGGTTCAGGGCAGCCTCCCCTCCTGCCTGTGGACTCCAGGTTGGGGCTAGGTTGTTCCTTAGAGGCTTCCAGAGGCTCTATCATCCAATTATGGGATTCCCTCTGACCTTCAAATTTTGCCCACATTACCAAATATTCATTTCCTCTGACTTCACAAATATTGAAATTCTGGAAAGAGGACATCCCAAAGCATTGACTTTGGGGGCACATAAATTCAGTTCTGGCATTAAAGAGAATAACTTGGTGACATATACACCTAGCTGAGGGGAGCTGGGAGGGGAGGAGAGCTGGGGAGGTGTTCGTGCATTATGCAAACCGCATTATCCTGGCTCTTCATAGAGCCCTCCAGGTTGCTGCTGGAGCCAAACCCTGGCTAAATTTTTTTCACAGGGCCCCTTGGGCCTTGGAAAGTGAAGGAAACCATCACTTGGGGAACAGAAGAATATGATTTCAGGTATTTGGCCTTATCTCGTCCAGATTTTGTCAAGCCGGGGCAGTGGCAAAGCTGGGGGCCTGAGGAACAAGTGAGTCCAGAGTTGGGCACCTGGGGGCAGGAAGCTGGAGGTCGGGCCTCCACCCACCCATAGTTCCTGGACATTTATCCTATGAAACTCATTCAAGGCTTTATCCTGGGCTGTGGAATTCTTCCACATTTTCATCCCAAACGGAATACATCCCTACGGCAAGCCCAGAGGAAATTGCAAGTTCATTTGGAAGAAGAGCAGCCGCGGGTGGCTGGACAAATGGTCACATTTAGGGCTGGTAGGCACTTCCTGGGGTTGTTCCCTCGACCCCGGGTACTGGAATCCTCCTGGCCGGCATTGATGCAAGAGTGGCCGGGCAGCTGGAAATTTTTCGACAAACACGGAGAGTTTTCAGACAGGGAGGAGAAGGCCGAGCACTGGATGTCCGCAGGCGCCAGATCTGCCTGCGCTGAGGCTTGGAGGAAGGGGGTGTTCACGGCCCTGCTCCTCCCGCCCTCCATCGGGACTGGGGCAGTAGTAACCCTTTCCTTGGGACAGGGCTCTGCCTAGCATGCCTCAGGAGTTCCCGCGGAAACCATGGAACAAGGCGCGCCGAGGCACACAGAGGGATGGCGACCAGGACCTGTTTTGCTGCGCAGGTGGGATGGGGGGAGGGACTCAATAGGCCCCCGCCGCGCACTCACAGGGACCCACACAGAGACACACAGGCACGTGAGAGACATGCAGGCTACCAGCTACTGCAGCGCTTTGTGGGTAAAGCCACGCAAATAAATTTCCCCGTCTCCTCCATAGGGCAGAGCAAAGTGAGGAGCCGCAGCCTGCCTCATTCTGCCTGTGGGGGTGGTGGGGCGCTGGACTCGGGAGAAAAGTTGCCTAGTGCTAAGTTTCGCTGACCAAACCGCTGAAAGCCGAAACGCCTTCTCCTCCATTTGTCCGCTTCAGCCCGGAGTAGGCAGAGACCTCCATTGCAGGCAACGTGTCGCCCTCGCTGCTCAGTCCTATGGAAGTCAAAACCGTCAGGCCTCCGGCACGTCACGGCTAGGTGTGCCTTCGAGGGAGCCTCCGGGAGCCAAGGAGATCACCCCAGCCTCCCCTCGCCCACCCCCTGCTAGGTGGGGAAGGTGGCAGTTTCTCAGATTCTGGTTGTCGCAAATTCCCCTGACCGCCTCCGCACCTCGGAGGGGACCAGAAAGAAAACCCAGTCGTTCCGGGCTCATTTCTCTGGCTGCTCTCTTTCCCTAATCTGGAGGCGGATGTCGGCTTAGTGGAGGCTGCAGTTAGCTCAGAGCAGGCGAAGTAAGAGGCTGTACACGCCAGAGCCTCCTTTTCAAGGTACCAGAGGCCAAAGTAACCGGAGAATGACCCTGGATTCCACGCCAGAGCTAAGGGGTCCGAAGAGGGGCGGGGCAGGAACCGGGGCCCGAGGCGGGGGATTTTCCCTTGGCATTTGGAGACTCGCACTTTAATCCACTGAGCTTTAACCTGCTCCCGGACCCCACCGTACCTCTCCTTAAGCGGACGCTAAGGCAGACTCCCGGTCCGCAGGATGGGCCGGGCCTGGGGGGGCGCTGGAACAAGAAATGGCGCGCAAGAGAAGGTAGAGGCTGAGGTCAACGCACCCTCCTCGGGTTTGCTTGAGCCCTTATCCTCCCCGCCAGCTTTATCCTCCTTTAAGAGGGCAGAGCTGGCAGAAGGACTTCGCGCTCAGCCCTCCACATACGATGAAGTGATACTGCTTTAAAGATGGCCGAGAGGACCCTAAACCCTCAGGGAAATAGCATCCCCTCTTCTTCAGCCTCCAGCTAAAGAAGGGAGGGGGCGACGGAGGCATTGTACGCTCCATGGCCTTTGTGAAGTTCGAAGTACTGGGTTCTAAGGCAGATTTGAATTGCAGGTGTTCGGGCCCTGAGAGATTTAAAAATAAGCCTGTTTATTTATTTATTTGAGACAGAGCCTCAAGCTGTCGCCCTGGGTAGCATGTGGTAGCATCACAGCTCACAGCAACCTTCAACTCCTGGGCTTAAGCGATTCTCTTGCCTCAGCCTCACAAGTAGCTGGGACTACAGGCGCCCACTATTTTTTGGCTGTAGTTGTCATTGTTGTTTGGCAGGCTCAGGCTGGATTCTAACCCACCAGCTCTGGTGTATGTGGCTGGCATCTTAGCCGGTTGAGCTACAGGTGCAGAACCCCCCCACCCCCCAAAAAACCCCAAACCTGTTTTAACTGTTCTCAAGCACACATCTAGGTACAGTCACCACCCTCGAGGTTGTGAAGGGATTGGCTGGCTTCCCAAGGACAAACTAATGGCCGCCTTTGTGGTTTCTCTTCACACACGAGGATATTAAAGGCCGCATCATCTACCCGCTGCTGCAGCTGCTGTCCAGGAATCCAGACAGTCCGGACTGCTTACACAGGGCGAGGTGCACTTTCTAAGATTCCCTGCCACCCTCCATTCGGGTTCTAACGGAGTAGCAGGCTCTGTCAGGATCCCCAGGTCTCCCAGACAAGCAAGTTTGGAGAGCTGCTGGCCCTTGGGTTTCTTCGCTGTCCCTGCACTTTGCTCTGTCGTTTTAGAAACCAGCGGTAGATGTCTCCGCAGGTGTAATTACTCTCAACTCCCTGATTTTAGGGATAATGCAAGTCAGGCCAAGAGACATAAAGACACTTGTCCAAGATGCTCTGGAGAGTGAGTACCAAGGTCCCCATGACTCCCTTGGGGTCACTGCCTCCTGCACTAAGCAAGAATGTGAGAAATGCTACCCAACTCATCTGCCAAACTGATTGTGATTCGAATTATCAAAGCTCGTGGAGGTTCAATCTCTGCCTGAGATTGTGGACTTGGGGTGAGCACTGCTTCTTCCCCTTGTTGGCTCCAGAGG